TTCAAACCCAATTGGAAATACAGATGAATACAATTAAGGAGTAAGGTTTTGCTAATTATAAGTTTATTTCCTTTTGGATAGAGTTTGTAATTTTAAATGAATAAAGAGTAACAGCCCTTTCGGTTCACGAAACCTTTCCATTTTACGGGCTGATGTTCATTTTTTTTTCTACATTGATCGGGTAAATGGTTTTTGCACAGCACAGTTTTTCATATAAATTGATTCATAAAATTTTCACAACACCACGTCGAAGATTCAGATCACGTACAATTTTACAGACGAGAAATCTTCGATGTCCTATAAAAACTCCAATTTATAGGGCTGGAAAGACGCCCAGTGTATTTTGCAGTTCCATAAATTTACAATAAAATGGACGAAAGAAACTCCTACAAATCAACCGGAAGGCACTTTTTCTGCATATTCTTCTAAAGTGCGTATCCATCCGTAAAATTGCACTACGTAAGTCCATACATATGAAAATATACTATTCCATTTTTGGCATCCATCCCACAGTTGGGTTCCAAATTAACTTCACTATTTGTATAGCTATTTGATTAAGTAGATAAGTTAAGAGAGAAAAAATTATAAGGAAACACAGGGTGATTTAAAAAGACTTTACAACTTTGAAATACAATTTTTAATTTGTACGGTTTCAACTTTAAACAAACGCGTTTTTAACACACGCTAAATAGTTGTCCATTCAAGGCAGCCATCTTGAACGCAACTGCTTTTAACGACCGTTACGGTGTGATTTGGTACTAGCGAACTACGCCAACCAAACTTGATGTGTATCCCTACAAATTGACAATACGTTCTCTGAATAAATTTATATGACTTTTGAAAGTTGTAAAGTCCTTTTTGAACCACCCTGTACATTTATAAAACAAAGAGTAGCGCATATAGACAGGGTCGAGTCACTTTTAACAAAAACAAATCACTTCTGTGCTCGCGAACAGTAGATTTGGAAAAGGACCATCATTATCATCACCTGAACGGAAGGAGCAGCGAAAAATAAAACAATAGAAGCTTGTTTTTTGGGTGATTCATTCCCACCAGCCACTAATGTTGGTGGGCGGGTAGTTCCTCCGGCCTACACCGGAAGGTAGGGCGGAAGGCCCTCGTGAGCCTCCTCTCAGGAATTGTGAGAATGGGTGGGTGGTGGTTCAGGTGAGAAAGATGAAACAGATGAAATGAATACAGAAGAGAATGAAAGATTGGAATCTATGGAATAATACTGCCCCAGCATTTGCCTAAATGATCCAAGGAAACCACAAAAAACTTTTTCTCCCTAATGCTAAGCAGTGGTCTAAACCTCCAGGCTATGCTGCTCGGTAGAAGCTTGTGAAATGTGGTGTTATATATAGAGGAATGTTAAAAAAGAGAAGAGAGATGTTACGGTAGGGATGACCTCCTAAGATATCAAGGGTCATTTAGAGACAAATTAGAAGTAAAAACAGAAACAAGGTGAGACAGACGAAGGCTTATACTTGATTACTGTTCACAAATTGTTGTGAATGCGGAATGTTGAAGTTTTCCGGAAATGTTAAAGAAAAATTAAAAGGATAATTTGTGCTCTACCTAAAGTATCTCTTCAATGTTACTCCACAAATATAAATAAAATTAATTTTTTTCCTTCTGGTTGCATGTAGGTAGGTACGTATGACGCTTCCTTCGGCTAAATATTTCTTTTAATTTTGAAAGCGATTTTCGCCTGTGGGCTAAGTTTTTACGTATACCTAATACGTTTGAAGTCAATGTCTCGATTCGTTTAGGAAAGGAAGACAGATAGGTCCTTCAGGTACAGACTCCTAAAAATCGATACGCTTTGTTTTACATTGTTTACCTGGAATTTCACGGAATTTCACCTAAACTTTAAATCTCTTATAAGTAGTATTCCTAAAATTTTTAATGACGATGGCTTCCTGCGGGAAGTATAAATTTTCTATGTCATTATTTACCGTCTTTTTGGCTGTTACCTGTCACAGTTCCAAACATGCAATAAAGACAGTGGAATTAATTGCCTTATTTTGGGACAGTTTACTTGGCTGAGAATAGAATTCGAATTGCTTCAAATACCAATACTGTAAGTCAGGCTTTGGCTATTTTTGAATTTGTTTTGTATTATATATCGAAACCGTAACTTTACTGAATCCCCAGAATTACTCGAACGTTATAATTTATTATGATATCAACACTTATCAAAATTGTTGCGAATTTAAGTTTAGAAAAACTTTCTTTCCTTACAGATAAACGACAGTGGTAACAAAATAATTTCTTTCGCATTCATTCCCAGACCAGTATTCAATGTTATTCTACTGATTTGAAGACTTTCTATCTTCCCACTTTAAATCAATTTACTTAATGCTTTTCTTTGGTTATTCCGATGGATTCTGCAAAAGGATTGGTGGATAAATGTCTATTTGTCACCCTTGACATTAACTAATCGAGAGATTCGAGAATGTCAAGTAAGTTTAGTACATTGAAGAAGTAAACTGTAACGCGAAACGTGAATACGAAACAAATCCGATACACACGACTAGAACTTGAAAAATTCATGGAAAAAAGTGAACATTCCTTTACCCTAGAGGGAACCCAAGGCCAAGCATTTTAGCCATATAGTAAACACACTTTGGAGTTGAACCTTTTGACCTACGTGGTACATAGTTTCAAACTCCTTATGTTCTTCTATTTGTCTAAAAGAAACAACAAGAATCGTTATCATTGCACCATTTTAAAGTTAATTCTTTACGATAAAGATCGTCATGTGTATGTGCTACAAATCGAATGATGTATGAAGTTGTCAAAAATTTACGTACAAGCAGAAACTTTGAAGTGCTTTAAGAAAGCAAATCTTAAAAATTATTAGCATTTTTACAACAAAACCGATAACCAGCGTTGAGAAACAGAATCACAAGCATCTTATGCTTTTACCTACCTTAATAAATTATTGGATGCTTAAAACAACTGACTTTTATTGAATGTGATGATTTTGGTACTTACTTTATTCATTCTATTCTAAGATTATGAATACGTGGTGTGTTCAAGAAGTTGCGGAGAAAATCGTGTGGAAACCGTAGTAACAATCACTCTTAACGAAAATTATGCTTGGCTTCAATTTGTAACTACTTAGTATCTGTATACATATTATTCACAGTTTTTTATGAAATATTTATTAAATAGTGGACGTATCACTGAAAATCTTTACCAGCTGCGTAGAAGAGTTTCAGAAGTTTGATTGTTTAATGTTATATTGCAAATTTGAGTTTAACCCGGGTTTAGTTGATTTTAAATTGTTAAATCATGCCTTATCCCAAGTAGCAATAAAAATTCTGATACAGGGTTAAGGCTGACAGTTAAGTTCAGCCTTTCCAAGTTCCGTAAACAAGGAGGTTTCCAATTTGAAATGTAAACTAGAACTGAAAATCCAGAACGTTAATACTGGAATTCAACCGTTTTCTGACATTATTAAAGAAATCGGAACGAAGAAACGAATTAAAATTACTATATGTCAACAAACAAATGTCAGAAGAATTTAAGACAGAACACGTACATACGTTTTAAATTTAAGTCAGTATGGAACAAACCAAAATTCGAAATGGCCAGAAAATTATATAGACATCACTACCTAATCAGCACCTTTTATTCAAATATACCAAGCTATGGCAAACTCAAAATTCTATTGAAACAAATGGATAATATTTCAGCATACGACTCTGGAAGTGTTTCCGGTGAATCACAGACCACCATTGCAAGAATCACATTCCAATTGTTCAGTATTTCTATAGAACATTAAATTCTAGTCTTATCATCGTTTCCAATGAGCACGCCATCACTGACAAACTGAATCTTTTGGGTAAGTACGAGCAAGATGAGCAAGTATCAGTAAACAATCATCATTGATTGATATAATAGTAATAGATAATAGTTTTTGACACGACATACTGCCCTTACTTTTTTGGTGTTTAGACACCAATTTTATTGCTACAACTGATAGTGTTATTTGAGTATCCTTCTTTATTTATTGTTTATTCAGTTTAGGACTCAATGTTTGGATATTTAAGACTTCAGCAACAATATTGGTCAATATTGCCGGCGAAATTCAGTTGGTTGGGTTTTTTTTTTACCTTCCGTGGTCCATTATATCCGTATTGATGAAATATTAGATGTTATTTGGCGTAAACGACTTTTTAATGGAAATCGAACGAACATAAATATATCGAAACTGATTTTCGATCGCTTTCCGAAACTGGTCCACATTACTCACTCGCAAACGGCGTTGTTGTTGTTGCCGAAAATTTCTGATGCAACACAAAATCATCAGTTTGTCCGCCGAAATGACGGTCAAGGATAACTCGTCTCAAACAAGGACTTTCAGGAAGATATAAATTTTTGGAGGAGTCGCGATATAGTGCCATTCGTTACTTAATTGGACCTAAGCCAATGGCGAAGTGTCTGTCCAGTTGCTCCTAACTCAATAATTCCCGGTCCGTTTTGATTCTATATCGAAGAAATATTGCATGGAAGAAAAATTTAATCAGATAGAGGAGGATTCGAAACTAGTGTGAACTAATTAATTGCTGGAGGTGGACAATCACCTCAATGTCACACTCAGATGCAGATAATTTCTTGTAAAGGAACAGATACATTCAATTATTATTATCGTATTACTAAAATAATATTCTCCAGTGAATGTTAAAACTAAACAAATACCTAGCAAATACCTAGCAAAAAAAAGTACAACAGGTACTACCCCTACTGCAGTAACTTATTTACAATTAATTATAATTTCCCTTAATTACCCAATATTAGACAAGTTATAATAGAAGCTAAAAAAACATTCCCCCTTCTCTCCCAGCTACCAATTGTCAATTAATTTAATCCTTGTACTAACTTATTTATCTAACAATTTATTGGAAATCATTTGATTTCTCCCATAATAGATGAGCATTATTACACTATGTATATTAAAGTATATAAATTGAGTGTGTAATGTGACTTACGAACAAAAATGTTGGACATCAGCGTAGCCGGCAGGCAAAAAATGATGACCAATATGTCGGCGACTGCCAAGTTAACAATGAAGAAGTTGGTGACGGTCCTCATCCTGGGCGATCGGAAAACGACGGCTATGACGAAGAAATTTCCAACGAGCCCAATGGCAAACACGAGAAGATATGCGACACAATAGACCACGGTCATGACTGCGGAATGTCGGTAAAAAAGTTCCGGTTGGAAAGATGTCTCAGTTGCATTCACAGAACTGTTCATTATCAACGTTGCCCCGTTACTTTTGATCCCTACCTCGTAGAATGGTTTGTGGTTATCGCTATCCTGTTCCGGACTGGCCGCGCTAATTATATCTAAAATCGAATTACTCACAAATTCCGAAGAAAACATTTTGTTCACCGAAACGCTCTGATGTCGCTGTTCTCTAGGAGTTGGCGTGCTGCTACTGCTATTTAACCGAAATACTCTTGCAATGTGATGTGCGGCACCATAGCCGAAGGGTTCTTCCTCTAGTACCCGAAGGGAGCTAAAACTACTTCCGTGATGGTGGTGACCAGTGTGGCTTCCGGAGCCTCCCTTAGCCATTTACAAAGGCGACCAAGACAACATTTATTAAATAAAATGCAGCAATAGTGGGTGCTATGGGACGAACAAATGAAGTCGCGGGAAAGTTTTGCTGTTGTTTTAGCGCGACGATTCGATAGGGGTGCGCGCTGGGGGTTGAATGTTAGCGCGCTCCTGTTTCATGAGAAATAAGAGCGACCGATAGGGTCAACAAGCGACTGCGCGAAACTTTTCAAAGGGGTGAAAGCATCGATGAAAGTGACGGTCGCATTGGAGATTTTAAACCGGATTTTTCTTTATCGGTGATAAATTGATTTCGAATCCTTTCAAGCAATAAGCTTTTATAAAGAAAAATTAATTAACACTAGACTCGTATTAATCTAGAAAGTTTCCATGAGCTATAAAGAAACTCGATAATAAAACTAATTTATAGATAAAAATTAATGGAATTAACTTTTTTTTGAATGACGAAGTAAATCAGTTTTTACTAAAAATAAAAAAAAAACTTTTGGTTGTTTCATTCCCACCAGCCATTAAATCTGGTAGGCGTGCAGTCCCTCTGGACTACGTCGGAAGAGAGTAGGCTTCAGCCTCCTTTCAGGAATCGTGGGAATGGGTGGGTGGTGGTTCGGGTGAGAAAGATGAGATGGGCAAAATGAAGACACAGGAGAATGAAAGATTATCTATGGAATATTACTGCCCCAGCATTTGCCTAAGTGAACCAAGGAATCACAGAAAAACATGGACCAAGGCAGACGGACCCGGAATCGAACCGGCGTTCTCCCGAATGCTAAGCAATTGTCTAAACCTCTAAATCATGCCGCTCGGTATTACTTAAGATAAAGACGTACCATCAATGACTCCTTTTATATAGTAAATGCGGGGGTACTTAATTGATAATATCAAGCAAAGTCAATAAGCAATTAGCATACATATGATATATTAGGAGATTTACTATCATTCAAGACCACCTCTAAGTCTCGCATCAACAGACTCTGATGGGGTATAATTTCCGCCCAGGTTGTGAACACAGTCTCCACTCAGTGTGTCAGTTGCAGTTGCTGACGAAACATCTGCATTAAATCGCTCATTTCGGCCACGATCCATCAACCTGAATTTAATAAAGAACAAATTGGTTATTACTTCAAACCTTTCCTACCATTTCGAACTTCCAATTTTAATTGCATGATATGGTCACGTAGTACTACCACACTATTTAGTCTGTCTTGACAGTTTAAAAATCATGTACGTAACTGAAAACTGTAACGCAATACAAATTTAATTAATCTGTCCCTCAAAATGCAACTTGCCCCAAAGCTACCCTTTAGAAAACATCAAACAAATTTTGTGGCTGAAATCAAGGTGACACCAACATAGTTTCTTACTTTTAATGAATTGATGATTTATTTTGTCCCTTCCAATGTCGAACAAACGGTCCGATGCATTGAAAACAATGAGACGAATCATCGTAAGTACGAAGTTAAAACTTTCAGCTGCCATAAAAGTGCATTTTGTAATGCCCATTGTGTTGTTTATTGCCATCACCTTCACACACGAAGAGATCTAGAACGCACTTATCTCTAATCTTATTACATTCGGTTTGATACATTCGTAAAGTAGGATCAAGTGTTCACATCCTCGAAACAAATAGACCGCATTAACCGCCGAAGGATTTTAAGAACCCTATCGTTATATAGATATGAACCGGAAGGGACAATTGGAATTTCAGTTTTGGTATGGTTTAATGCACCTCGAGTCCTCTCAACTGTTACCATTAAAGGTAAAGGGATTTACACCAAAACTCATCGCAGTTAAGGTTCTTTGGATTATCCATAAAACAATATGAATCGTAATTGAGGGGTTCCGGTTCATAACTGATAAAACTTGAACCGTTGACATTGGAACTGTATTAAAACTGAAACTTTCCATTTTAGAAAGGCGATCCCTAAATTCTAAAGTGCACAAGCTCATTACAAAAATCCCTAAAAGCTTCCACATCTTTCCTTTTAAAATTTAAATCGGATTCTTCGAAGACAAAGAAAAGTATTTGTTCCAGCTCACAGAACACGTCGATCTTCCACATTGGAAGCTTAAATAAACACTTAGGATATGCTTTCGCTGTCTCTGTATTAGGTATTGGTCCAGGAGAGACTCTTGAACGTAAGCTTCAGTTCAACAAACCTTTTATTGTTATGAAACCAAATCAATCACAACTTTTGTACGAAAGATTTATCATCAAGTACCCTTCAATTAAATCGCTATTTCTGATAAAACCTGTATGAGTAACAAAAACCAAAAATAATGTTTTTAACACAAAGTTTAAATACCATGGTTTATAGACTACAAGTGATAATATGACAAAAGAACAAAGACATGTCAAATAGTTTATATGCAACCACCTATTCACACCAAACAAAAATTTGATGGTACTCGCATATCATGTTTGCAACCAACTTTACACTACAATGTAGGTATTTAGACCCGCTCACTTTTCAACCACCTCAAATATATCAATATCGATGCTTTTTAATTAAATATTTTAATTAACGGATAGCATCTTGGATATCAAAGATAGACCTGAGCATTTTATATTTAAACGGTTTAATTGTTCCCGAATTGAATGTTGCACTTCCTCCCGGCTCTCCTGTTTCTATAGATCGTTTCTAGTCGTTTTACCATTTTTTCCTCTTTTTCTACAATCACTAATCCAAAATTTTGGCCGTTTTGTCTACTGCCAACTTAGACAATTACATTGTTCCCCATTGTGTTTGAGTATATCGAACTACTTCTTCCACTTGAAGACAATAAAAATTAATATGTTTATCGTCATTTCCGTTCATGACATCTTAAATTTTCTTGAGAGTCTTTTTAACGTCGTCGAAAAAGTTGAAATAGTCAATTCCATTAAGCGTTGCATTTCGTCCGACGTTTCTATAAAAGAAATAAAAAATATTGTCTTGTTACTACCACCTACCGTTGGAGGGTGCTTTAATACAAGCATGGAGTAAATGGAAATCCGGTAAAAATACGACTCGAACACAGGAGTCAAATTCATATGTGCATACGCAGTCTGGACGCAAACAAAGCAACAATTTAACCCTGATTGTCTGCTCGACTCAGTCGGCTGTAAATCTCATGAAAACTTTTCAATGCCAATTGTCGAATATTGGCAGGAAGGTGGAGAAACTTCTGCTTTCACTGTTTGTTTTCTACTGCACTGCAGCGTCTCGAAGCGTGCCAAATAAAGATGAATAATGTCCAACGAATAAAAGTTCTTTCAGACTAGACGAACGAAAACGTATGAATACAAAAGACTGCATCACTTTTACTCGTCCATTAAGTAAACCTTTGTTGTTGCGGAAGAAAACTGATGATTTGCATATTTCTGAAATGTCTTAGTTTTTCGATTTCCTATTTAACGCAGGATTATTGAAAAATCTATATATATAAAAGAAAGTCGTGTTAGTTACTTCACTTATAACTCAAACCGATTTGGCTGAAAATTGATGGGGAGGTATCTTACAACCGGGAGAAGGACATAGGATACTTTTTATCACTTTCCACGAGAAAAATGTGGTATATGTAAACGCAACTGACATGGAATGACAAAACGAAATTGACAGCAAAACAAAAAATTTATCAGTCAAAACATCAGTCTAGCCTTTCATTTGTTAAAAATGGTATAACAAAACGCAATTGACATGGAATAACAAAACGCAATTGACAGCTACACCTAATGTTGTCTAGGTTAAGTATGGTGTTTTATTTATAGTCAGATTTACCTGAAACTTGGCTTTAATGCTTTTTCATATAAAATTAGTGACGTACATACCTATTTCAACATTTTACAAAATTCTACCTCTTTAGGAAGCTAAAAGGAGTTTGTAAAGATTGCATGTTTGTTTTTGGTTCGATTTACTTGAAATTGATTAAAAAATTCAATCTCTGTTGGGGGGGATGAGTGGTGAAGAGGAGTTGCAATGTTTAAATGGAACATATTATTTGTGATCAGATTTACTTGAAACTTTGTTTTAATGGTCTCTCATTTAATTTCTGAAAGATCTATCTCGACAATTTAAAAAAGGGAAAGGTGTTGCAATTTTTGTTTGGGACATACTTTATTTATGGTTGAATTTACTTGAAACTTGGTATATATGCTGTTTGATATTATTAATCAAATGAAAAGAGGTTGCAACGTTTCCATGGGCTACATTTTATTGTACTCAGATTTACTCGAAGGATGCTCATTGCTGAAATTAAGCAAATACGTGTTTTGGCAATTTTTAAAAATCAACCCTTAAGGATGAAATGTTGTTGCTACGTTTGTATTTGAAAGATGGCGACATCACACAAAATTAAAACGTTGTAAGGGTGAATTGGGAGCTAAAAGGTTTTATGGAGAAAGAATATTAATTTCTGGGAGCGAAGCCGCGGGGAAAAGCTAGTTGACTATAAAAAGTAAAAATTAATTATTCAGTATGCCCAAAAAATCTGAAGAACCTACAGATAGGTTCTGGATCTGGGATGAAGTTCCAAATTCAATTTTGACAAGGGCATGCATACTTTATACATTTATTAACAACTATAATAATAACAATAACTAATTCTCTTCCTTTGTTTGTTTCATGGCTTAATAATTTCGTACTTTTAAGAAACCACCATTCCACGTTTCAAACTCTAGCTGAAGATTCATCAGACTTTTGGTCAGATTTTATTAGTGGAGCAGATCATACACACAAAGGGTAATACGTCCTAGAGTTTGCAAAAAATTGAACAGCAGCTTTATATTTTTTATTAAAGGTACATTTTACTATCAGTCTATATGCTCTGTCGTAGATTCACCTATTTATCTATCAATCTGGGTTTTACGATGACCTTAATCTATCCTTTATAGACGCTTCCCCTGAGTTTTCGCAGTTTTATTGGTAAAATATCACAATTCGCCAGAGAGAAAGCAAAGGAGAACTAGGACACATACGGGAAGGACGATAGAACAGTTCTATTTAAATTTCGGAGCAAATGAAAATAACTTCATAAAGAAAATTACGAAATCTTCGTATCCTTCGTATCTTAAACACGAAACCGTACTATCACACAGACTGATTAAGAAGAAACAATTTAAAAATCTATTTTTCGTAACTATTCTGGCCCTTCTGTACCTTATCCTTCATTTAAGTAATCGCCCTAAACCTAAATTTCTAAGTATAATTTATTATTGTTGTTTCTGGCCATGAGAGCCCAAGCAACATGTGATAGCATAATTTTTTCTAACCCATGGATTGCACATATCACACATGTGACATCACTTTTCCTTATGGGATTGCCTCCGGTTAATTTTAGTTAACGTGCTGATTCCTATCTCGCGGTTCACCCGTTACGATCTCCATGGACATGGGATTAGGGCGACCAAGACAACGTACTAATTGTAATACCAAAGCTACCGCTACCAGTTTTCTCTAAGAGGTGAGCAAAACTCCCTGGAGCAGTCTGGTGTGAGCAAGACCTATTTAACCACTACTTGGCTTAGCAGGCAGTTGGTCCAACCTCAGACGGCCGAAAAGGTAGCAATATTTCGCACTTGGAGCTCCTGGGACTGCCGTAGTACCAATATCCGAATATTCAAGGGACAAATCCCCTTTCAGTTGAATTAGTTGCACTGCAGCATTGCTGAGACATCTCCGCTGGGTTATCTTTTTATAACGGGTCACTTTCACTAGCCTGTACCACATTTCTTTTACATAACCTCCTATAATGGGTTAGTTCTATTTCATAACCATTTTATATTATTTTTAGTTATTAAAACAATAAAATACTCAAGGAAATGCATGTAAACATGTTAATGCTATATTTGTATTGTGAAATTATTCATGCACCCACATGTACATTGATGAAAACCTACACCTACGTGCAAAGTTGTACCTTGTATAAACATTGAAGAATACTAGGTGCTAACTGTTAAATGTGGTGCCAAGTCAATTACCGGTTTTACGCTCAGTTAACATTTAAGTATAGTTAGTAGTTAATACGAGACACATGTATTTAATTAATCAGGTCGTTATGAATACTCAATTTAATTTTAACTGGCCACTTAACACCATTTCAGAAGTAATTTAAGCAAAACAACATTTTACCTTACGCGGAAATTGTGACAATTGAGGAAAATTTTAGAAACGAAGTAAATCAAATCCGTTCATGTGTTCAATTTGTGAAACACCAAGTTTGTAATCTTTCAAACTGTTTCACCATACCATGAAAGGTAATGAGAGATCAATCTTTTACAAGCCATTATTGGTACAGGTACCTGGTGGTACCATTGATGTGTTTGCCCATTTCACATTTCCGTTCATATTTTAGATAAATATTTATCAACATAAGTTGATGAGATTTCTATTTTGAACAGTAACCATGAGGAAGCCTTAAGAATATCTCTAAAATACGTACGTACTAAATATCCTAAACTTCGTTCAAAAATATTTATAAAACTACAGTGTAGCATAAATGTATTTTTAAAATGTTTCTACGTGGCGATCCAACAAGCCATTCCAAATTTTTTTTTTGTAGTGTCAAATTTCCAAATTTTTCGTTTTTCTACTTCACTTGACAAAAAAGCCTTTCAACTAATTTATTCTTTTCTCGTATAAATTTGATTTGAAGCAAATTAAAGGTATGCATCCGAAGTTGTTTTTGTCGCGTTTTTGTGTTTGGTATATGTTGGGCGCCTGCGATCAAGTGTTTGCTAAACGAGGTATTTCGGGAACGATATGCATTATTTGTCAGGCCATGCCTATGACGGAATTTATTTATAGACTTTCAATACTCCACCGCATATTTTTTGAAATGATTCCGTGGAGAAGGGGACTTGTCCACCGACATCACACACTATTACCAGAATAGATTTACCTGTAAACGGGCATGTGAATTGTTCAGTTTGGGGTCCTCTGAAGCTATTTTGACACTTACATCACTTACTCTCATTCATCCAGTTCTGTTACATTTTCACGACATCTAACACCACATCATGGTAGGTAGAAATTTTTACAATTTACTATTAAATCGTTCATTATTAACGTCTTTTAAGCAAAAACACTTTGTCAAATCATTTTTAGTTACTTATACAAATTTCTTTTTTGATAATTACTTACATACCTACTGTAAATTCCAATAGGAATATGAACAAAACAACATTACGGCTGTTATTGTTAAGATTTCTTCGTCGTTAATTTTGAATAGTCCTCCACAGTGGCAGTGTTTATGTTGCCGTTCTTTTTTGCTTTTCTTTTTTTAAAACGGACCATTTCAGGCGGACGACGATGCCCAGAGACAAGCAATATTACGCAAAGCGTTCCAAATGTTCGACCCGGGCAATAGTGGTACCATTGAAACCATCAAAATAACCACCATTTTGAACAGCATGGGTCAAGTATTTGACCACAAGGAATTGGGCGAAATGATAAAGGCTAACGACCCGGACAATTCGGGAAGAGTTGATTTCGAAGGATTTGCAATGATCGCTTCTCATTTTCTAGAAGAAGACGATGCTGAAAGTACACAACAGGAACTTAAAGAAGCCTTCAGGTATTTGTTTACTGTTTATTCATGTCATGGGCGATTCAGGCAGGATGAGCTCTTAATAGTTTATTGATGTATGTTAAATAATTCTGTATTTCTTAATGTTAGTCTAAAATTATTCTTTATCAAGGACAAAAAGTATTGCTAATGTCTTCAACATCTACTTCGAATTAAAAATATTTCAGAAAATACAATACAATTAATTTAATTTGTTGCAGGTTGTATGACAGAGAAGGGAATGGTTACATTACGACGGGAACGTTGAAGGAAATATTGAAAGCCCTTGATGATAAACTGACGAACGCAGAACTGGATGGAATTATTGCTGAAATTGACACAGACGGCTCTGGAACTGTCGATTTTGATGGTAGAGTATAAAATAACGACACAATGAAATAACAATCTATAAACAACACATTTATATCACTAATAAACTTTTTTGTTTTCCAGAATTCATGGAGATGATGACTGGTGACTAAACAGGGATTCGTCCTTCATCCTATCAAAAAGTACTTCAAAATATAACTATAAAATCAAGTTGTTATCAGAATACTTATTGTGTAATCAATTTATTGTTTTAAGTCGTGTGTTTTGACTTTCTTTGATTATTACACTGTTAAAAATACTTATTATTTGTATTTACAAATAAATCTTTTATGATACATTTAAAAGTTCAACATCTTTTCTTAATTGTCATTCTTCGAATTGTGTAAAATGTCTCTAGTCGTTGTAAAGGTCATTACTAGAATGTCTTTCTAATAAAGGGTCATTGTATTGTTTCCATGAATGCAGAAGTATCGAGATTACATTAAGTCCAACTACAACATCCATTAAAGTAAATAAAAAAAAAGGATAAATAAGGATTACGTTCAGTCGTTTAGATAATCCTATTAAATGTAGAGAAGTTTTATAAGAAAGGGATGTATAAATAAAATACACTATAGATAGTTTCAATTCAATACTGTATGCAATTTGTAAAAAAATATACAGAGCGTTTAGAATGGTCTATGCGAAATATCTGGATATCGGATATGGGTGGTAGAAAATATGAATACTTCTAGTTGCAATGTATAACCTAAATAAGTGTTTGTATATGGAGACAATTCTTCAGATATCGGATATAGATACGGTCAATGACGCCCGGATACCGGATGTAAGATATGGATGGTTCTAGGTGTAGTGCGTATCATGAATACTTATTCTTGGATACTTTTCTGGATATCGGATACAGATGTCAACAAACGTGAAGTGAACTGAAAATGAAACAGAAAACTCTTATGAAAAATTATGAATACTTGTATCGGGATACTTTTTCCGGATAACGGATACAGATGCCAACGAAAGTGAATTACATGGAGTGGAAATGAAACAGAAAAATTATAAAAAAATCATAAATACTTGTATGGGGATACTTTTTCCGGATAACGGATACAGATGTTAACAAAAGTGAATTCAAAATGAAACAGAGAACTCTTATGAAAAAAAATTATGAATACTTGATTCCCGATACTTTTTCCGGATAACGGATACAGATGCCAGCAAAAGTGAATTAGATGGATTGAAAATGAAACAGAAAACTCTTATAAAAAAATGTTTATTGCACAATCCTTTTCTTTTGTAGCAAGAATATAACAATCCCAATTATGGTAACACTAACAGTTTTGGCATATTGTCTGAGCACATTTTGTTACTTATGTACTTATGTATGTGGTAGGTATGTGTATATGAATGTAATTACTTATGTATATTAATGTATGTGTATATTACAAAAGGTTTCATTATAAAAATACAAAATGTCATGGTCCCACTGGAGAACTCATCACTAAATGGTCAGTCGATCGTCGAAAACTGCTATTATGGCCAGGAAGGTAGACCGGATTCAAGGTGCGATTACACAAGGGACTGTGAAATGTTGTCATGGACGTCGGAGACATCATGCCGTCCGACAGGGACCTATTTCGGAACCTTTTATGGCGATGTTTCCGATTAAAAGGGGGCACCTGGTGCTGCTTCATTTGGTGTCTTATACGTGGCGTCGAATTTAAAGAGTCTTCGTAACTGTAAAAAAACATCACATTTACGAACAAATGGGATAATCTGAGGATTCTTTAAAATTAAAAATTGCCGCATTTATTCTTCGTAAAATATCATAAGTAGTTATAACAGAATGCCCAGAAAATAGGGTTAGACAATGGCAGCAAGATAAAAGACTTGATTCTAATAGTTCTTGATCATCTAGGTTAGGTTAGGATAGGTTAGGTATTTGTAGTTATAACAGAATGTCATAGAAAATAAGGTTACACAATAGCAGCAAGATAAAAGACATGATTCTGGCAGTTTTTGAGTATTTAGGTTAGGTTAGGATATGTTAAGTTATGTAGTTATAACAGAATATTACAGAAAATAGGGTTAGACAACAGCAGCAAGATAAAAGACTTGATTCTGATAGTTTTTAAGTATTTAGGTTAGGTTAGGATATGTTAGGTTATGTAGCCATAACAGAATGTCACAAAAAATGAGGTCAGACAATGGCAGCAAGATAAAAGACTTGATTCTGATAGTTTTTGAGTTTTTAGGTTAATTGAATGCCGCTCGAGTTCATAATTCTAAAATACACTTTATAGTTTCGATAAATTATTGCAAAAGAAGTTAATGCCCTTTTCCTTCACTTACTTGCTACTACTATCTTCTGAACATCGACTAGTGGAATGACTGCAAGCGCAATGAACCCCCGCGTCCACAATTCCGGAATCATGGCAGCTGGAATGAAGGGAAGTGACCGAAGTCTCTAACCCCCCCGTACTTTTGGATCTGTCCCTGTAGTGTGGCTTATTTCTGCCCGTGTACCTCGTACATGCAGTTCCGACTTTACCAGGAAACGGAACTGGAAGAAAATGATCTGGACGATCTTCTCGACCAGTGTACTGTAGACCTTCTTCGAATGATGTCGGAAACAGGGAAGATTTAGACAAGCCACTCATCGCCATATTATAACTCGATGGAGGGGCATGGAAATAACTGTTAGCAATTTCCCTAAGAATTGAGAAGAAAAATATATCATTGACTGTGGTTAAAATAAATAATAATTCGTTTTACCTTTTGCTGGGCTTACGAGGACAGAGAAGACATAGGGCCGTAATAAAGGCACCTAAAAATATAAGGCATGCCAATATAACGACTATGATTTCGGATCTTGACAACAGGGTGCTCTGCTTGGCTCGTTCTTGCACGGAAGTACTGCTGGTTAGAGCCAAAATCGAATTGTTACCTAAATGTTCTTCTATATCATGTTGCCTTTCATGGATGACCCTTTAAAATTTAAATCAATTTATATTTGTAAAAATAGTGTAATCAGTAACTTTCTGTATGTTATTGCCTGAGCCTAATGTTTATGATTAAGGCACAAAAAATGGTACCAACCCTAAATGCCCTCATTTTGTAATTGCTGCATGATTATTGTTAATGATTATTATTATTTCCAATTGTTGGACGTCTGCATGCTATCTAAATCTTACGTAAACCGAAACGTACCTATTACCTTGACCTAATGATCGTAAAATTTTATGTACCTACCATAGGTAAATTATGACATTCGTGTAGGTACATTCCGTTGATACTAACTTACCAAAAGGCAGTAAAAGTATAATTGCATAGTACTTTGTAATTTAAAAGAAATTCAACGGAGTTTATATTTCACCTACCTTTTTAGTTTTTCCATGTCGACAACAACATTGAGCGAAGGGTCAACTGCGTATAGGTACATATCAGTGCTGAAAATAAATAAATTGATTTTCATTAGGATTCAAAAAGAGCTTTTTAAAAATACTGCAACAGAAATGCGCTCCTCTCTTTTCTCCAAAATTTCATGACAGGCTCTTTTACCAATGGCCCTGCTAAAATTTTTGTTTTACCTTTAATACCTCATTTATATTGCACCGTTTAGAAAAAGTAATGCGCTTAAGATATTCCAATTAATCATGAATTTATACTTCATTTACTTTCTGTAGCGATTTGCCCCTTCCATTGTCTTGGATGCGCGCTAGCAAAATCGTAGGTAGGGAGAGAAAAGCTCATTATACTCTCGACTTTTGTTCATTAAACATACTTTTCCATACAGTACCTGCCAAAAGTTTTGTTCAATCATGAATAGTAGTGCGAGTCGAAAACAAGCGTTGAAGCCTTTAATATGTCTTCAAATATAAATAATCATCTCGTTGATATTTTCAGTAGTAAATGGTACCAATAACAGCACATTTGAGCAATGCAATTGTAATGGATAAAATGGTCAATTTTTCCGTGCAGTACTGTACGGATTATAGGCTTCTCACCGGTTAAGAGTTTGGCCGAGAGTTGTCTCCTTTCTTTTCTGGCCTAGTGCTGTTCTTTTCTACTTTGCGCCGGTCAAACTGAAGGTCACTTCGCAACAGAAAGTAAACGAAGTATAACTAGGTAAGCTCTAAGAGAGATCAAGGTAGGGTACGATCGATGGCCCAACGATGAAGTACGTTGTCTCTGTGTCGTAGAGATGAGGGTTCGATCCATGGTAAAAAATTAAAAATTTATCATTCGCTTTTCAAATAAAAACAATACATAACCACCCCAACATACTTGATCAGCCATTTCTTCAATGAGGGGATAGGAATAACACATTAAAAACAAGAAATTATTAGAATTTTAATGAAGATTAATAAAATAATGGAATATCTATCTATTTTATGTCCCTGCGCATATTTTTTGTACTTTCTTTACGGGCATTCACTTTTCATGTATATATATAGCTATATATACTGAGATACATGCATTCGTGACAAAAATCGATATGTTTTTGTACGCGAATCCTTTGAAAGTTGTGACAAGCTCATTTGTCATATATACTTACACGCTGTTATCGACGTATTTCTTTTCAATATGCGGCTCCAATTTTCTCACCCTCACGTCGTACCCCGTAATATTGTACAATGCCCTAAAAAAAATGAAGAAAGCAATATTTTAACACGTACTAGAACAGCTCAGCTATATTATGTTATAGATAACGAAAAAGAAGAATTGAAATGAGACCCAATACTGATCTTTATTAAATATACATAGGTGTACTCATTAACGAAAATATCAAATACAGTCGACTCTCGTTAATTCAAACTTGCGATAATTCGAACCTTTCTATAATTCAAAGTTATCACGAGTTCCTTACAAAATCTTTATATTTCGAACTAAATCAATACATTTCTATGCACTTGGTAATTCGAACGAAAAAATCATTGCTACGTAACAAAACGACGCGCTAATTCGAATTTATCGGCGTCAAACACTCGACAATTCGAAGTTGCAGAGGGAAAGAGACAAAAAGATTGTAAGTACATACATTTTGAGGCAAGTTCAAACTTCTATCATCGCATCATCGAGTCTTTGTTTTTGTTATGATTAGTTTGACACACAGTTCCGCACGAATTGGTTTGTTTAGTTATGTTTCAATTATTGTTACTCTTACGTTGTTTACAGATTAAAAGTTCGAAAGATTAAATTTCGAACCATTTAATATTTCAAACACTCGATAACTCGTAATATTTTAAGAGTCCCTCGAGTTTCGAATTATCGAGAGTCGACTGTATTTTCTTGACTCATTTTTATTAAAAACATCACTTTCTTTTCTCTTTGTTAAATAGACTGTATTTAAAAACAACACAATTAGGGTGTGTTCCGAAATATAACCCGGTATACTGACCAGTGCTGATGACGTCGTGAATCGACGCCATACTGTTGATTCGTTCCGAAATATACTGGCCAGTGCGTTGACGTCTAATTGACGCCATATTGAGAATAGTGCTTGTGCTCGTTCACAACAATTTTGCTCCAAAAGTTATTAACGTTTATTATAATAAAATATTGTCCAAACTCTGAAGCGCACACGCCCGTATAATATACTGTTACGGCACACTTGTTTCACCAGTACAATATGGTGGCACACCAGTACAATATGGCGTCGATTGATGACGTCATCAGCACTGACCAGTATGCTGGGTTATATTTCGGAACACACCATTAATTTTATTAAATTATATTGTTCCGTAATTTTTCCAATAATCTAAAGAAACATTTTTAGCGTCCATTTTGAACGTAGTACATGAAGCAGCAGCTTCTTGAGTGGTTAACGTACCTACGACCATTTGATGATATTGTGAATAATCAATTTAGCATTCCTTACAAAGTGAGCAAAACACCCTGTGCATTACGAACTTGAAGTAAATGAGACAGATATACGCACCTGGTTATGCTTTCCATGTCCTTTTCTATTTCCATGGGTTTCTTGTTAAGAACCATAACCAGTTGCTGTTGTTCGTCTAAAATATACACCTGCAAAAGATCTTATTACATTTGGAACTACGTCAAACCCAATCGTAAATAAGTAACTAATGTGAGCACTAAATAAATTTATGATCAATTCAGTTATAAAAAGAAACATTAAGTCATGTTTGTCAATAGCAAATTATATCATCGGCGAGTTTCTTTTAGATTTGATTTGATTTTCCATAACGTAAAATTTGTAGAGTAAAGTACACAATGGTTCAGTTATCAAACAAGTGGCGTGAGTTTGAAAATGATTATTAAAATATGTTACTATGTAATCAAAATCATAAATATCTCCTGATCAGAAAATACCACAAATGGCATGGTGAACGCCATCTGTAGTAAGATGCTACATCTCCTGATCAATAGTGAAAATTGAAATGATTGTGGCGGCCCTCAAACTGAATCATGAGATACTCCATAAATGACTAATTAAATACTACAAACTATTCATGGATGAAACATGTTCTTAAGGAACCATACTTACGAAAACATTGGCAATAGAGGACTTCCCATCATCTGCCCCACGTCTATCCATTGCCTTAACATCGAATCCAAACACTTTTCCCGAATCCGATTCGAAACTTGCAAGTGTCTTTATTTGACCACTTACAGGATCAATAGCGAAACGTTTGAACTTTTCCTCTGGTTTACTCAAAATTTGATAACGGATTTCGCCATTTATTCCCAAGTCTTGGTCGGTAGCCTTATCAGAAACAAGATTATCTAACATTTGTGATTTAATTAAATATCTCATTTATAGGTAGATAGGTAAAATAAAAAAAAAGGGAAAGTTTTCCAATATAAATTTTTATTCACTTGTCAAATGCTTTCAGCCGGACGGTTATGATGATGATAATTTATGTAAAGTACCTAATGTCCTTTGTTTTGACTCACAGATTGAGTTTGATAAGTAAATATCTTCGTATCTTGTCAAACATATAAAATACTGCGGTTAAATAGGTACTTGATAACGATATACTTCCAGTAACTTGACTTCTTGATCCTCTTCAAAATTATTCTTTTCGCCATTGTAAATAATGTACATAATTCTTAAAATAGGATTCTTTTTTTTGTCTGAGAGTCTCAAAAAACTTTTTAAAAGGGTTATAAATATGCAGGGGTTGTACTGTTTATTTGCTTTGTCGCGAAGCATATCGACGACCACATGCGCTTCTTTGACAGAATTATAATTGACTGAACATACGCCCCAATACGCAACGAATCCTTTAATTTTATCTACCTACGTCTGAAAGTTTTGATTCAATTACAATTTTCATTCCTTGCTGCGTAATTTTAATTTTAATTAAGTTGTACACAAACCGAGAAACAGAAAAACAAAATTAAATATTTCTTCCCTTGCGAAATTAGTTTTAAAGGTGAATGAACTGCAACAAGGGTGAATGACTGTTTAAGTGAATGTAAATATTCTCCTTCCATTATATAATAATTACAAATTCTGTTACAATGATCAGCATCGATTCGATTATCGATTCCTGAACTAAATAATCTAGTGTAGCCCAACCTAATCTTATCAATTTATAAGAACTTACTTGTAGTTTTAAAACAGGATGCCCGTAGCTTGCTGTTGCAGGAATAGCAGCTATAATTGGCCCTCCAGTTGTTGCAAATGCTGGTGGATTATCATTAACGTCTGTTATTCTGATGACTATCTTAACTTCATTATCTTCTTTAAAATACAAAAGGAAATTAGTTTAAACTTTGATAAACTTAGTCAAAAATTTGAAACGTTTTATGAATATGTGCAGAAATACAATAAGTCGCCACCTAATCTGCAGACGTTTACAATTAAGTGTAAATTCAATCATTTTTAAGATCTCTTCCAATTGAGAATACTTCCTAACGGTGCAGAAAAGTGACTACAGAAGGAGACTTACGAGGGTGAGTTTTTAACTTCGCGGAATTGCTAGGTAGGGCATTAGTTAGAATACTTACTCGAGTCATTACGAATTAAGAAACTCATTATTAGTATAAATACCAAGTTGTTATCGTGTCGTAATTACTTCAACAGTCTTTGAACTATCGTCGACCAAATAAGTCAATCGGGAACAAATTATGAATAGAATGGATAAAATCGAGTACCACGCTGTTATAAAGTTCCTTGTCAAGCAAGGAATATCAGTTCAAACCATAAGGCAGGGATTCATTTGAAGAAGACCCACGGCCAGGTCGAGGTGACCACTCCGCATATCAATTAAAAAGTCGAAAAATTAATACCGGAAGATGCCCGACTTAAGAAGAAACAGCTCTCAGAAATGGTAAGAGTATCAGATATAATAATTTCTAAAATTCTTGGCATTACTAAAGTCAGCGCACGACGACATTCTTTTGGGAAGAGATAAAGGTATCTCCATAAAACTGCTCATCAATCCTGAAGCGATTAAAGGAAGCAGTCAAAGAAAAAGGAGAGGAAAATTGACCTAAGGTGTCCCTTCTGTTCACAAGAGCCGTGTTGTGTTGGCTGCCCTGCAGAAGATCGGCTTCGAAATTTTGACTCACCCACCGAACAGTCCTGACCTAGCTCCCAGCGATTATTACCTATTCCCAAACTTGAAAAAACGCCTTCGTGGGAAGAAATTTTCAAGAGACGAAGAAGTGAAGGATGCAGTTTCGGCTTATTTTTTAGTCAAAGACGAAACATATTTTTTCGAATGTATACGTATGTTAATCGAAAGATCGGAAAAATGTATAAGGGTAGCAGGTGAATATATTTATATACCCCCCCCCAATCCGCGAACTTAAAAACGCCCCCTCGTACTTTTTATTAATCTCATTAGCAACCAGCAGCCTTGAAAGTGTTATATGCCTACATGTACATACACAATTCTCATCACAGTGGAAAGAAACTTACTTAGATTCCCCAACTTATCATCAGTGATGGGGTACACCATAACGGTCATGTCCCTTCCCACCCTATATTCGTCAACCTTCACCCCAAGATTGTACAAGTCCCTTCTTTCCCTATCTGGGCTACGTATTATGTACAAAGTTCCATTCCTCGACTCCACTTTGTACATCTTCCTGATTTCTTCATCACCATTGTCCACTAAACTGAACCGTAACTTCTTTTGTCTATAATGATCCGTCACATTAATCGTTAGTACTTGTAGTGGCACAGGCACATTCTCTTCAATTTCTACTTCATAATATTTGTGAACAAACAGTGGCTCAACAATGGTCGTAACGTTTTCCGGTACATCGACCACATTTACCATCACCAGAGCTGTCGAACTTAAACTGGGAGATCCCAAATCCGACGCAATCACGGTAACATTATGTTGCTTCTGTTTTTCGTAATCCAGTTTGGACATAATGGTAATGATACCTTCCTTGGAATCAATGGAGAAGAAATTTTGTTTTCCTGACTCGTACGGGATTCTAAACAATATCAGACCGTTTCCGTTTCCACTAAAGTCCGAATCGTTCGCAAACACTTTAACAACAGGTGTACCGACAGGATTATCTTCAGCTGCGTACGCGTGATAAACTGGTAATAGTTTTTCGCTGCCCCTTATTTTATCTTTTACCTTTAACTCCAGATCGTGCCCGTAAAATGTCGGACTATTGTCGTTTATGTCTAATACGTTCACGTCTACGTTTACTTTGCTCGACAGTTTCGCCCCTTTCTCAGGATTATCCTCGGCAACGACGACAAAAGAATATTTATCTTGTACTTCCCGGTCAAGAACTCCTTGTACCGTCAATAATCCTGTAAAGCGATCGATGGTGAAAGGGAAGTAAACCGCCTCGTCTGTTTCTATTTTGTACGAGATGTTGGCGTTTTTTCCGAAGTCCGCATCGGACGCTTCAATCTGCCCAAGTACTTTTCCAGAATACAGTCCCTCTTCAATATCAAAATTGTACCAGGACTGCAGGAAAACAGGAGGGTGGTTATTGACATCGTTTATGAGAATCTGAACAGTGACATTATCCCTCAATTCACCGATATCAGTTGCTGCAATATTCAGACGGAATTCAGACTGAGCTGGCAGATTTCGAGCAACAGTCACCTCCCCAGTGGTAGGAATAATCGTGAAGTACTGCCTAACATCTAACGAAGTGTAAACATAATTATCACTAGGAATGTATGTTTCAGAAATGATTGAGTAAGTCACGTCAGAATTGAGACCAACATCCTTATCAGTGGCTAGCATTTTGAACATTATTGAACCAACTGGAATATCTTCCGGAACCAAAAGAACTGGGATAACCTTCTCATTATATTCCTTATTCGAGGTGTTGCTAAAATAGTAGCTCGTAACAGATACTCCTGTTTGCTCTTCTAAGGCTGTTAACTTTTGGAGAGTACTGTCAAACATTAACACTTTGATGCCTTGATTGGGAGTAACTGATAATTCTGTGAAGACTGGAGGATTGTCGTTTTCGTCTAAGATAGTAATTCGCAATTTGGCTTCGCTATATAGACCTCCTTTATCTTTTGCTAAAATTTGAAGTTCGTAAATTTCCTTTTCTTCCCGATCAAGAAAGTTCGTTCCACTGAAAGTCAATCTTCCAGAAAATTTCCCGATTTTAAATTTTTCGCTACCTTCTCCTAATATTGTGAGTGAGAATTGTCCATTTTCACCAATGTCTGAGTCAGTTACCCTTATTAGATAGCTCAAGTCTACTTCGGTACCAGGTGGGGAGTTTTCCTTTATTAGACCTTCATAATGAGCGTGTCCAAATTCTGGAGCGTTATCATTCTCATCGTCAACGATGACCGTTACCTGATATATTGCGGTACCACTGATAGCCCCTTTGTTGTACTCTGCCACCACTGTTAAATGATATGTGTCTCGTTCTTCCCTATCCAATGACCGTTTCGCGTACAATGAACCATCAGAAGAAACAATGATATTATCTGTTACGTCTTTTTGATTTGCGATAACAAACTGAAGTGACGACGATGTTATGTTCTGTTGAAAGATTTTTCCAATGAAAACACCAGGTCTGTTCTCTAGCACGTGAAATTCTATCGGGGAGCTTCCAGTGTGTCTGTAAATAGTAATAGCATAGATGAGTAGATCGTTAGAAAATCCAAAATATTTGATGAATAAACGTACTTGGTAAGAACTGTTCTTTCCAGTTCAGAATCAACCACGTGAATAGTAACGTTCGTTATGATAGATTCGTCTTCTTTGTAAGTTGCTACGCCTTCGAAATTGTACATTGTTCTCGGATAATTGGAGAGTTTCTCTATGACTGATATTGCCCCAGTATGCTCCTCGATTGCAAATGGGACTAGAAGTTACTGATTGAGTTAAAACATGCTAAACAAAAGGTTATCAGTACTATTCCTCACCTCCGTCTTCATAGCTATGTAACAGATCGAAAGACACGCCAGATTTGTCGTGAGAATCACTGACACGAATTTGCCCAACACTTGTTCCAATACCAACGTCACTTCCGACCCAAAATTCATAAGGAGCGCCTATGAAATCTGGAGAATCTTCCGGATGTGCTGTAACCAAACATATTAATAGCAAAGTATCGAACGATAAAATGAATTCGGACCTTACCGGCAAATTGAACATCAATAGTTACAACAGCTACTGAAGTTCTCTTTTCGCTAGGATTGTTAGGATTATCTGAAGCCTCAACTATCACCACATATTGTTTTTGGTTACTTAATTTTTGGGTTAGTATGATCCTTCCATTTCCATCAATCCTAAAAGGTATTTTCAAGTTTCCAGTCTGTTGAAGGGAATATGTAACAAGGCCGTTTCCTTCCAAGTCAGGATCGTTAGCGTGAACACGTCCTACAGACTCTCCAACATTTAAATCTCTGTCTACCACAAATTCATATATGTTACTAGGTATAAATGTTGGATTGTTGTCATTGGCATCGAGTAGAGAAACATCTACTATGACTGAAGCAACTCCGATTTTATTGGTTAACAAGTTTATCAACTTTTCTTTTGCCAAGACCCGTAATCGTACCGAAGAACGTTTTTCTCGATCTAGGAGTGTCTGGTTTGAGACCTGTTAATTGAGAGATAAACAGAAATTAATTATATATTAATTCCCCAAACTGTAAAGGCGACCATTGAGTAAGCAATTTTTATATTTTATTACTCACTGTCAACCACCCTGTCTTAGAGTTCAATGAAAAAGCTTTACTCCTGTCTTCCAGTTCATAACTAAATTCGGCATTATCCCCTTGATCCTGATCAGTTGCTGTTATTTGCATAACACTGAAGCCATTAGGTAAATTTTCGACTATGCTGATGTTATAATAATCTCGTTCAAACTCGGGTAGATTATCGTTAAGGTCGATAATCTCTATTTCAACCCTAGCAACGCCATACCGTAAAGGATTATCTATTTGCGACGCCTAAAAATAAACGTTCCTTTGCATGTTACTGGAGAACCGAAAACATTTTCCAATTTAATTAGTGGTCGATGCTAATTACCTGGATTTGAAGAACGAAGGTGTTTCCTGGAAGAGACTTTTCTGATTCCAAATCGATTTCCTTTTCCAGGAATAAGGACCCATTGACATGATCGAGGTAGAACAGATGACGCTCATTTCCAGCAAGGATGTCATACCGTATGGGGGCGTCGATCGACACATCTTGATCAAAGGCAAATATTGGTGGATTGAACTTTATCAATTGATGAACTTTTCTACCCTGAAACAGAAAGAAATCGGAATTCGTGAACTTGTCCATTTAATGGTAGGTCTGTTTAATGACTTACAGAAATTGGAAAAGATTCTGGAATTTTTGTTCTGTAAATGCCTTTTGTAAACTTTGGAGCTAAATCGTCACTATCCAATACTGTGACTTCAACTACAGCATTTGAACTTAATGGTGGGTTTCCCCTGTCCTGCAATTTACAAATAAACTCAGTAACTAATATTATTCAATAGGCCCCATTTAAGTCAATCCAATCATAAGTTTTAATGGGAAAGCATCAAAAATCTGACCTTTTAAATTCAAAGTCAATGGACTATTTCCTGTTCTTAAAAAATTACCATATGAATTCATTATCTTCCTAAATAAATTAAACACTTTCTGTTCTTATCAAGTGAATAAAGCCTTTTATTGTAAAATTTTACAATCTTCAATTGCTTCGTCAAAGTGAAACTATCCTCAAAGATATCGTCAGATACAGGCGTAAATAATTATTGACCCATTATGTATTAACGTGTATGTTATATTTTTGCCTTCATCTGCGGTTTGTTTATCTGCTATTTGTCCACAAATCATGCTAATTGTGGCGTGAGGATTAGTGTAATCCACTCGAGTATAATGTATCACTTTGGTTTCCTATAGAAAGTGATCTTAGAGAATGAACCTGATTTTCAAGAAAGAGAATAAGAAAATATAATATATATTTCAGTTGGAGCATAAGATTCGACATAAAAAAGTCGAGACTCATTAGTGTTTTAACAAGTAAGTGTAACTGAGACACTTCATACAATGTATAATTATATTTTCTCATTAGTACTTTCGTTTCCTAATTTAATTCAGTGAAATGAATAGTAATACAAACAAAACAATTTGTAATGAGGTTAATAATGCAGACTACATAAACATGTAAATTGCTTTAAAAGTATCAACAACTACCTGCGATGTAATTAATTACTGGCACGAAACAAGGTTTTGAGATTCTTTCTAATCTCGTTCGAAGATGAAGTACCGTCGTTGAGACAGATAAATTAATTGATATGGAGATGGTGCGTTCTCCTCAGGTGGATTCGACGATACGTAATGCAAATGAGTCTAATTAATCAATCTAAGTTAAATCAGTATCCAAAAGTTTTTTTTTTATTTGAAAATGCATGGTAGGCACGAGCACGACAACCTTTAAAATGTTAGTATGCATAAAATATTCTATATACAATGTGCGAAAATGTGTGCGATTGCCGTCCTGATATAGATAGCAAGATCCGTATTTTCGCATACTGTATAGTACTACTACGTACAGTGCACAATTTTTGGCAAAGCTACCGCGGGAGCATAGTTGAAACAGAAAATAGCCAATATGAGAACTGGAGTGAGATAGAAAGCGTAAAAGGAAAAGATTGCGAATAGATGCGTGTAGATATCAAGCCATCAATGGGGTGCAAACAAGAGTCCAAGAGCACTGTAGTCATTACTCAGCGTCTGTGCGGTTGTCGATGTGTTTTGACAAGTTTCATTTGTTGGTCTGTGTTCTGTCGGAGCTGCCTGCGACGCGCTGATGAGATCCAAAAAGATCGAAATCGCGATCCGCGTCTGGCAGTTTCGACAGAATACAGACCACTTCGAATTATTTTATTCTTTTGTTTTATTTGCTTTTTGGTTGATGTACTTGTATGACTTCTAATATTAATTTTTTACTTATAAACTTGAAATCTGATTTACCAGACCATCATTGTATTTTGGGATCCCATATCGTTTTAGTTTTTTAATTTTTAAAAGCGTCAGTCTTCGTCCGACTTTTTCTCAATATATCTTTGAATACCGTTAACGAATTAAGATATTCCTTTAATTCTTACCGTGGCTGTAACGATGAGCCTAAATTTTCTGTCGCCTGTATCATAGTCCAAAGGTTTCTTCAAAATTAAAAAGGGTACGTAGCTACTTCCAAGGGTGAATTTTCCCTTTTCGTTACCAGATGTAATAGCATACTGCACGTCCGAATTCGGAGTGTTAGGCTTGTCCCTGTCGGTCGCCCTGATTCCTCTAAAAATTGTTATACCTGTAACAACAAAATTCATCTATAAAGTTCTCTATTATCAAGGTAAAGTTTAATGTAAAAGTCGCAGTTTCCTATTCTTTAGAATTTAGTTCAAGGTAAACTTTCAGTAACTTCAACGGAAAAGTTTCTTAAGGTCCGATGTCATAAAGTAAAGTTGAACAAACTTCCTCAAAACTGCGTAAAATAAATTTTGATTCTTGACCCCATAGGTCGCATAATATTCACAGAAAAAAGCGTAATTTACTTTTGCTGTCATAAAAGCTTAGTGTGGCATTTACAAGACGTTAAATTTATTTATCTAAAGCTTAGGTCTACACGAACCAAGCTTTTATGCCAATAATTAAATCTGATCTTTACAATAACTAAGCCATTTAATAAAAAGCAAAATATGTTAGCAAATAATTTTAAAATTAATTTCGAAAAATCTCTGAGATGTAATACTGGGTAAAGTTCGTTTTACCAAGGTTTGTGTTTACGTCATCGATGAGCGATATTATCACAACTTAAATTCAATAGCGTTCGATTTTGCATTACAGTTAATCTGATCCGACCGGACTTGAACATTGACGAAACTTGAGTGGGTTGATCGGCTTGCGAGTTTCGATGATTTAGGGAGTCAGACCATAGGTTCAACCATAATGGAAGGGGGGGGTTCTTAAAGAGAAACCAGACTAAAGAGGGCAGCAGCTCTTTCAGTACTTAGGGTTGCCGAGATCACGTGGATCGGTATGGCATTCTGATGCACAATACTGCGATGTGGAAGGCAACGGGAAATCACCACATTATGATATTCCAAGAAAAACAAACCAAACTCAAATGATGGCGTCCTCCGGACGAAAAGTAGTCCCCCATTCGGATGTTCAGGCGGAGACTACCTCGGGGGATGTCATCAAAAAGTACAATAGGAATAGATGCAATATTTCAATCGGAAAAAATTTACTGTTCGCAAATAGTTAAGGATATGGGTTGTTCTAGTTTTAGGGAAATGCGAAGATTAGCTCAGGATAGGAAAGAGTGGAGGTGCGTGTCCAACCAGTCTTTTAGGACTGACGATCTTATGATGATGAGTTAATCAATATTGAAAAAAGTTATAAAAATGTATCTACTCTTGAAAACATAAATGGACAAAAATCAAAAATACAAACTATAAACTAAAATAACATGAAATTCTGCTATAGCAAAATATCAAAAAATTCAAAATATTTTAATCAATCAAGAGTATATTGAAAGTGAATCGTTGAAATTTTTAATAACTGATGTGTATTTTGGAAAAAGGATTTTTTTAATATCTGGCTTCATTTCAAAAAGTCACATTTTAGGTTATTATTATTGTAATTCTAGAAGAATCAGCTGTTGAGCGGCCGCCATTTTGGTTTTTAGAATCGATGTCGTCATTAATTTGTTTCAACTCTGGTGAAACGAACTATGGCTACGAAGTTCTTTGCAGTAAATTTATTGTTTCAGGGCAGTATATAACATCAAGCGAGACATGAGTTCAAAATCCAAAAACATCAAACAACTCCATCGTAATCATATCCACATGAATAAAAGTGCTGGGTTTTTGTAGTGAAAGCATCGGGTGAGACGTACATACGTAATCTCTAATTATATTTCAATCAGAAATAGTTAACAGGTTTGCTATTGCATTCATTTCCGTTACAAAATGATGGCAAATTCGATTGCGTATCCGTTTCAAGAAACAATGAAATTTTCTTGAATGCTTTACGCATTTTTTTTCCAAATTGTTAATAAGTACGCATTATTTTATAAAACGAATTTTATCACGAAATAAATTATCTGTCATTAATTTATTTTTCACAATTAATCAAAGTACATCCACTTTCTTATTTATCAATTATACGGTCGTTTACTGAGGAGACGGTAAACTATTGCGTCAGATGAAAATGTTTACTTTGATAATGTTAATTTAACACTTTCTACAGCAGGTATACGTACGCATATCTGCCTCCAGACCTGCTGAGGCATCTTTTGCGTGCAGCAAAAAAATTATTAATTGGAGCAAAAGTCTCTGCGTTAGCGTGAGAAAACATATCAGTTTTCTTACACGTTCACTTCCTATTTCTAATTAAAGATAAACGGGCAATTTGAAATAGTAAAAGTGAATCATCATAATTGGCTAATAAAAATAATGTTCTCTGATCATAGAGCGACTGTGAATCTCTGATGAGTGTTCAATAAATTTTAAGAGTAATCATTAACTTTTGCTCGAATAGCAATAATCAATAAGGTCGTCTTTTGACCTCTCTTAAAGTCTAATTAAATAGTCATGTCCGGATTAGGTCTTCTCCGGTTCACTGATTATTAAAAATAGTGAACTGAATCGACTCCTAAAAATTTGAATGGTGGCTCGTGGCTCTCGTGGCTCCAATCCAGTAAAATCCGGGATATTGTGAAAAGACGAACTAGTACGACGAAAAGTTCTTCCGTTTTCGGTTTTCTTGAACGCAAAAAACGAAATATTATCGACCCATCTGCGGAATGCGATATACGAGGGTGGATTGATAAGTTTCCGGCCTGACCAAGAAAAACAAGGTTTTTAAAAATTTTTTTTTTTTATTTCTCAACATAATCTCCTCCAAGGCTGATACATTTCTCATAGCGGTGTTCCAGTCTATTAATGCCATCTCTATAGACTGATTCGTCAAGCTCCTCAAAATAACCATTTACAGCTTCGATTACTTCTTCATTGTCCGCAAATCTCTTACCGCCAAGCCATTTTTTGAGATTAGGGAACAGAAAATAGTCACTCGGGGCTAGGTCTGGAGAGTAAGGAGGGTGCGGCATCAATTCAAACTTTAGATCGTTGATTTTAGCCGTCGCAACGATTGACGTGTGCGCTGGTGCGTTATCGTGATGAAACAAGATTTTTTTCTTCGCCAGATGAGGTCGTTTAATTTTCACCTCGTGGCTCAAACGTTGCAATAAGTCTGCGTAGTATTGACCAGTGATAGTATTACCCTTTGCAAGGTAATCAATGTATATAATACCTCTTGCATCCCAAAAAACAGTAGCCATAACCTTGTTCGCCGAAAAAATTGTTTTTGCCTTCTTTGGAGTTGGTTCCCCTGGTCCAATCCACTGTTTAGACTGTTCTTTGGTTTCAGGAGTGTAGTGGTGGACCCACGTTTCGTCAACGGTTACGAATCGACGCAAAAATTCGCTTGGATTACGCTTATACAATGACAAATTTGCGGTAGAAATGTTTTTTCGAATCAATTTTTGGTCGACTGTTAGCAAACGCGGCACCCATCTTGCACAGAGCTTTTCCATATGCAAATGTTGGTGCAAAATATGTTGCACACGTTCATATGACATCTTACAGGTCTCAGCTATCTCACGCACTTTCAATCTGCGGTCTCCCAGCACTATTTGATGAATTTTTTCGATCATATCTGGAGTTGTGACCTCAACGGGGCGTCCTGAGCGAGGCCCATCAGAGGTGCTCACACGACCCTTTTTAAACTCGGAAACCCACTGCTTAACGGTTGAATATGACGGGGAGGATGTCCCCAGTGTTGAGTCCATCTCTTTTTTAATTTCCTTCGGCGTTAACCCCTTCAAATAAAAGTATTTGATGACAGCACGATTTTCCTGCTTTTCCATTTTTACGAAAACCACAGAGGCGTCTTGTTCAGCGTGCTGTCAAACCTACACTAGCAAGGAGATCGGGCTGAAACTATAGCTACAAGCTATCCAAGGATGGTACTATAGAATGTCACCTCAAGGTAGGCCTAGTGGCGTCATCTCTTGGTTAGGCCGGAAACTTATCAATCCACCCTCGTAATTGTGTTTCTACCCGATTTAATACCGAGCAGTATGACCTAGAAATTTAGACCATTGCTCAGCATTCAGGAGGACGCCGGTTCGATTCCGGGTCCGTCTGCCTTGGTACAAATTTTCCTGTGATTTTCTTGGATCATTTAAGCAAATATTTGTGGCAGTAATATTCCACGGATAATCTTCCATTCCCTTCTGTCTTCATTTCATTCGTCTCACCTTTTTCACCCGAACCACGACCCACCCATTTCCACGATTCCTGAAAGGAGGCTGAAGAAGTCCTTCCGCCCTACCTTCCGGCGTAGTCCGGAGGGACCGCCCGCCCACCAGCATTAGTAGCTGGTAGGAATGAAACACCTAAAGGTGTAAAGTATTTTGCCTAAAATTTTGACCTTAACATTCAGGAGGACTCCGGCTTGATTCCGGGTCCGTCTGCCTTGGTCCAAGTTTTTCTGTGATTTCCTTATGTCACTTAGGCAATAGCTCGGGCAGTAATATTCCACAGATAATCTTTCATTCTCTTCTGTCTTCAATTCGTCAGTCTCACCCGAACCATTCCCACGATTCCTTAAAGAAGGCCTTCAGCCCTACCTTCTGGCATAGTCCGGAGGGACTGCCCGCCCACTAACATTACTATCTAGTGGGAATAAAACACCCAAAAGTATTTTTCCACAAATTAAAACCGTTCTTGTTCTATGTAACGTTATCGACTTCTCACTATTTGTATCGGACTTCAGTGAATATGAGTCGATTTCGATTCTGTTGATGCAGCCACATTACTGGGATTCACCAGGAATCGAGAACCGAGTCATGATCTAAATGTTTGAAATCATCCAGGGTTGACTGCCCAAAAGGATCCGAATTTCTCATTACTACTATTTAAATTAATTTTTCATTTGCTCTAGGTCACAAAATCATTCTGCTATCCAAATAGGAGATGAATATCGTCCTCGTCTGAATAGCTACCGCTAAAGTAAATAAGAGAAGAAAACTCCATATAACCTGCCTGCCCTATAATACATATATACTTGCGGGTCTTCTGTAACGAAACAGTGTAGAAAAACTTTGCTCGTGGACATTAAGTGGGTTCAGTACAAGTAAAAGGAATGACCTTAAGTTGTTATTAAAGTAAAAGGAACGTGCTGCTTCATTTCCTTCTAATACTCATTGAAATCCCGGTGAAAAAATATTTTGTGGTGTCT